GAACTGCACCTATTACTTCGAGCTGGAACAGGAGCAGGGTTTGATCTTCCCACTACGTTTGAAAGTTGAGTTATAGTTTCTATTGCACTTTCTGCAATTCTGATAATTTCATCCTTATGAGAATCGCTGCACATGCACCAGCCGCCACATTGTTTTTTTTTTGTGTTTGATATTATATGAGGGTGAGCAATGGCGTATGGGATTCCCCAGCCCGCAATGAGATAAGGGATTTGCTGAGAAATTCGTGCATATAGGAAAATATAATGGAAGAAAGGAATGAAAAAAAAAATGAGACAGGTAAAATTAATTCCAGACTTAAAAGAAGTAAAAAATAAGATGTCAAATAGGTAAAAATAATTCGAAGAGTGGATATAATTATTTATAAGACACCACAAAAATAACTGAACAAAAATTTTTATTAATTCTGTATTAGTCAAAATAATTAATATAATTTTGACCAGAACGGGCCCCCATAGATGTTCGATGAGGTTAAACACTCACCCTCTTTCCCACTCCATAAATTTCTCATTCTCTTTAGCTTTAATCTCCTTTCTTTTCTCCTCCCTTCTTTGGATTCTCTCCAACTTGATGGCCTTTTTTCTTTCCATTTGGTCACGGTACACAGTTTCCGATTCAGAAAAATCGTCCTCAGGATGGGCTTAAACAACGGACGAATTCTCAGTTAAACAAGACATAGAAACATTCCTCCGCCGCGTTTAATTAAAAGCCGTTTTTCATGACAAAGAGGATGATTCTAACACCTCGAACAAAGACATTTTCGAAACACTTCAGTTTCGAAATTCTAAATGGACTCCCCCAGAGAGCCGTTCGCATCATTAGACTTTTTCATCAAAGAATTTCGCCACGATATTAACAAACTTAGTTTCAATCGTAGCACCAAATTTTCCAATCTTTCATCTGAAGAGTGGTCGGCACTGAGAAGCCTTAAAAAACGCAGGTGGTTTGCACGTTACGTCATCGCCACCATGTTGGTGGACGTAAACAACTGATATCTCATTAGCTTCTTTTGTTCGTCCACCAGCATATGTTCCTTTCACCGTTGTTACCTGTGTCTTTGGAGTTTGGTTGAAAACCACCTATTGTTATTAAAGCGGCCGACAAGGGCGGCGCAAGAGTTGGTCGGCGGACCGATCTCTACCAAAAAGATGCTTTGCGGCAACTTTCTGACACCTAACAACCCAGGTCGGCCCATTGTCTCGGCTTTCAGTTGCCCTACCGAACTTAACTTATTTCCAGCCATTTAGACAAAATTATGGCTCCCATCGTCAAAACTTTACCATCATATATCAAAGCCAGCCAACACGCTCTTCAAAATTTTCGCGACTTTAATTTTCTTGGCCAGAAAAAACTTCTTTTCACCATGGACATTACTGGGCCCTTTACTGTCACTCCTAATAGTGAAGGTTTTCTGGCCCTCAAACATTTTTTTGGATCAACGCACTGTTCAGGAACCTAAATCTGAAACCCTACTTCGCTTAGCTGAACCAGTGCTCACACTTACTTTCATTCGGGGACAACTTTTTCAAACAAACCTATGGCGTAGCCCTGGGTAC